TTTTTTTTCTTCTCTTCTCAAATGCAGAAATCATGGATTTTGGGTACCCTCAAAACCTCTCCCCCGAAATCTTGAAGCTTTACATAACTCAGGAAGGTGTACGCTCTCCATTTTCATCCAAGGTTAGACTTTAGAGACTGTTGCAATCTTCTATAGCTGTTATAGCAACATTTATGTTGAAGATTTATATGATGCGTATTTAACTGATACACAAAACTTCTTTATTGAATAATTTCTCATGGGAATGTTATCCTGACTTTCGTCATATGTAATGCCAAAACAGGCTGCTGACAAACCAGTTCCAAATGCAACTTTGCAAGTTACCGGTGCCGTTGGCTGGCGCAGGGAAGGCCTTGTCTATAAGAAAAATGAAGTAGTCTCTTCAAACAACTTCGTTACTGTCCAATATCTTTGTTATTATTGTCAGCTGAAACTAAATTTAGATTTCTTGTCAGGTCTTTCTTGATATTGTGGAAAGTGTCAATCTTCTCATGTCTTCAAAAGGTATCTGAATCATGTCAGGGAAAGTATTTGCTTAGGATTTTTTAATTATTTTTTCCTGTCACCATTCGCATGTGAATTTTTTTTGCGTATATCTTGATGAATCATATCAAAGGATGTTCTCTATTTGCCATTTTTCTTATGCAGGCAGTGTTCTACGCTGTGATGTAACTGGGAAGATCCTTATGAAATGCTTCCTCTCTGGAATGCCTGATTTGAAGTTGGGGTTAAATGACAAAATTGGGCTCGAGAAAGAGTCACAACTTAAATCCCGTCCTGCTAAAAGGTAGCTTGTATTTCATCTGATAATTATTATACAGATTACAACTCATAAACTGGAGGGAGACAAACAGGTTTAAATGAAACAACTTGTCAATGGTTGCATATAGTTGTATCTTCTTTGCTTCTTGTTGAGAAGAATAACAAAAGACAACTTCTGTAATTGTAAACTTGAGTTGAATGTGAACTGCCCAGCGGCGCTGGTCAGGGACTTGGGGTATAGATAGTGTTTGATTGCTTATTATTTATTTTTTACTGATTTTTCTCTAGAGATTCTTTTCCCCCTAACATAATGTGATTGTGAAAATTATCAAAGGATACAGTGATACACTTTCTACTCATGAATTTTCGCTTTCCAGTCAGTCGCATCCAATTATTCTAACACTGAAACATCCCATTAACTAATAACATTATACTTCATCACTGTGTTCCCGACAGTAACGATAGGATGCCTTCTGAAGAGATTGTATTTATAAGGAAAGTTAGAGAAGTTGCCCAGTTATTTCGTGCTTGTAATGGAACAATTCTGCAAAACTCCATCTTAATAGATGGACTTTCCTAAAATGGACTTTTCAAGAAGTCATTATTATGTTCTCCATAACCTTGTTTGATTTATGTTTTATTTTGCAGTGGAAAAACTATTGAGCTCGATGACATCACTTTCCATCAATGTGTAAACCTTACAAGATTCAATTCAGAGAAAACAGTCAGTTTTGTTCCTCCAGATGGTGAATTTGAGTTGATGAAGTACGTTAATTGGAGTTTAATTTGTGGTTAACAAATTTTCACTTTATGTTAATGTTTATAGCTTTACCTTGTTTTGATAGTCTGATCTTAGTCATACGAAATATAGCATAAATCTACTTCCATTCTAAAAATCTGTTGAATATGAGTTTATAATTAATTTGAAATGCCAATTCTAGAATATATGTATACAGGAGTTCTTTGTGAAAAATGGTTTGGTGTTTAGAACAGGTTTAATGCTTGTCGAACCTCAATTTGGAGAACTAAATGAGTTCCCATTTAAGTTATTATTATATTCCAAGACTCGTTCTTAATTTTCTCTTCTCTTTGCAAACAAACAGTTGGCCTTTTCATTTCCATTGCTTTGTTACTCTGTTAACTGTTACGGCTGTTGCTACAGGTATCGTATTACAGAAGGGGTTAATCTTCCATTTCGGGTTCTGCCGACTATCAAGGAATTGGGTCGAACACGTATGGAAGTGAATGTAAAGGTTAGTCATCAACTCTTAGTTTGAATTGTTGGGAACAACTAGCCACGTTTCTGACTCATATTTTGTTCATTTCAGGTAAAGAGTGTTTTTGGGGCAAAAATGTTTGCACTCGGTGTGGTTGTTAAGATCCCAGTACCTAAGCAAACAGCAAAGACAAGTTTTCAAGTGACATCAGGCCGAGCAAAGTACAGTCCTTCTATTGACTGTTTGGTGTGGAAGTAAGTTGTTTAGTTGTTTGGTGTACTTTTTTTGCTTATTATTTCATCAAAAGGATATATGTGAAGCATATGTTCTATCATGTGAATGAGAATAAAGAAAATTAGCAAATCGCCACAACTCAGAAAAAAGATTAGAAATTCATATGTTCTATCACGCGAATCATATGTTCCATCTGTATTCTCTACTAAGCTTGATCATGGCAATGCTGCTTGCTTTGGTAGGATAAGAAAGTTTCCTGGACAAACTGAGCCAACTTTGAGTGCTGAAGTAGAGCTAATATCAACAATGACTGAAAAAAAGTCGTGGACTCGGCCTCCAATTCAGATGGAATTTCAGGTCTCTAAGCAATGTGATATCTAGCATCATGATCATTCAATTTTGTTGCAGTGCATTATTTTCTATTGCATCATTTAAGCAGTTGATATTTCTAAAAGGCAATTAATAGCTATCCCAATCCTATGATTGGAGTTACGTCGTAAAAGCTCTCTGTCCCATGGAAAAAGACTTGCTAAAAACAATCGAGAATGAAACCATTTGAAACCCAATTTTTTCTCTAGAAAACTTTCTTCAAAATGACTTCTCTTGCAGGTTCCCATGTTCACAGCATCCGGATTGCGTGTTCGTTTCCTAAAGGTGTTGTTTTAACAGTCTTCATGTGATTTTATCCCCTATTTATTGCTTATTTATTGTAATAATCTGCACTTAACTGTTTTCTAATCTGCAGGTATGGGAGAAGAGTGGGTACAACACCGTGGAATGGGTTCGTTACATTACAAAAGCAGGTTCGTATGAAGTTAGGTGCTAAACACATGAATTAATGTCCTTCCAAATATAGTAAGTATGCTCTACTTAGAATTAACTTGAAACAGCACACATTAATTTGTTTGACCCATCTCACCATCTTGTGTGCTTGTTGCACTGTTTATCAATGGTTGGATGTAATTCTTTCCGCATACACGCATCCGTACATAAGTTTGAACTATCAAATTCACGCATACACACATCCGTACATGTAAAAAGTACGTTGATTTTACGGTTAGACCTTGCTGTATACTGTTCCTACCCCCGTTGTGAAATTCACCATATGTAGTTAAAGGAACTAACTATTTTCATCCATAATTCAATGCCAACTGCTAGTAAAATTTGGTGTACAAGACCATTATTATTCAACTATTATTGCTCCAAACTATTTATGAAAAAAGCTCACTTAAATTTCAACCAAAAATGGTTAGCCAATACTGAAATTATTGGTGCACGATCAGTTATTGAAAGGACTCATTTCAATTAGATGTTACTCTTTTTTATTCCTTTTACAATAAATGAATTATAAGACGTGACAGCAACATTTTATTGAATTAGTAGAAAAATGTGAGGTCATTTTTCTCTTTAGACCAAATTGAAGCATGTGAACTATTTACAAAAAAATAAAAAAATTAATAAACCTTTCTGTATATAATAACAAACCTGTCTTAAAATTGACCTAACACGAACGTGCACACCACACACACAGCTGATAGTACAACAAAATTTGTGTGTGTGGAAATTGATTGATTCTCAAAGCCAAGAATTTGAGGCCCATGAATTTGCTGACCCAAACGGTCGAAACAAAGAGTGCTCCGGTTTTGTTTTAATTGGGCCCCCACCCCACTTCCACGTGTCATCACATAGCCACGTGTCATCACATGAGAAAGTGGGCACCTCGTAATCAGAGACCCCACTCACTCTCATACACACACATATACAAAACCATGTATATACACAACGACACAAAATGGCATTGTGGAGAATTAGATTTATTATTTCGAAAATAACATTCAAATTATAAATGTTACAATGTTATATCTGAAGGACGATGCAATGTTACAATAAAAATGGGATCATATTATAAATTTAACAAATAAATATCATTAGGTCTATTTGTAGGCAAAAGCATGCTTAACAGTTAAAAATATGTAATATTTTAATAAATATGCGTATTTTTAAATATAAGTCACATGTTTTAAGAATAATATAAACAAAAATATGATACTTTTAAATATAAATGTATATATTTAATGAAAAATGGTGACGAAATGAACGGCCTAATTATTAGTTTGGAAAATGCTATAGTCCCGCTACAGAACCATTTTGTCGGAGTTTGAAATCGTTTGATCATCATGTCACCATAGGAAATAGTTGATCTCCAAACTCTGACAGAATAATTTCGTAACGAGACTGTAGCATCTTTGACTACTACAAGAATTTGGATAAACTAAACATAATGAGATCTCCCCATCTTGATGAGGTGGAAGTATGGAACCATTCCTTAGCTGTTTTCTCACTGTTTTCCTCTTCTCCTAATTCTCAAATCTTAAAAAAAAAAAAA